AATATATTTGAAGCACAAAAAACAGTTACGGTTGAATAACTGCAAAGAAACAAGAATTGAATTTTCCACCTTTCGTTATCGATATAGTTTGCTGTTCCATGGCTTCGTGAATTGCAACTTGATCTTTCACATCCATCTTGTCAAATTCATCAATGCAACAAACACCCTGAAATAATTATTTCTTAGAACCACTAAAATTTTTAAATTTTATAGAAAATTATCACAGGAAATTCAATAGTTTTATTCCAAATCTTTTTTCTTTTGTCTGAAATAAAAAGTTATTCAAATTAGAACATATTTGAAAACAAACATTGTCCGCGAGCATCAAAGCACCAGCTTCAATAACAAACTCAAATGACTCCTCGTCTTTTACAACTGCTGCTGTTAAACCAGCTGCTGACGATGCTTTGCCGGAAGTATAAACCGCTCTCGGTGAAAAGTGCTCCACTGTCCTGAAATAATGACAAGTAATACTAGATCAGGAAAAATATTCAACAATGGATATTGAACTTAAATAATAACAACGAACTTCAAAATTTGACTTTTCGCTGTGCTTGGATCACCAATCAAACAAACATTTATATCGCCACGCAAAGTAGTTCCTTCTCCCTCACTTCGTTTCTGAACACCACCAAAAAGCATCAGAAGTACTCCAAGCTTTACCTATAAATCTTATATTTTAAACAAGACTTTTTAGCTTTTTTTCAGACTGAAAACTCTTTCGATCCAGGCTCATAGAAGATTTATCCCCAAAAAAATTATGACTAACTTCTCTATACATAATATTTTGAGAAAATCAAAAATCAAACGAACATCAAATGAGCAGCGAATAAAATAATAAAAAGATAAATAACCTCGTCATTCCCATAAATGTCTGGAAACAAGCTGCAAATAAGATTTTGGGCGATTGATTTATCTTCACTCATTTTACGCATCACCTTCTTTTCATTTTCAGATAACTGTGACCACAACTCATTATGGTCCAAATCTTCATGTGCAAGAACTCGACTACCAAACTGAAAGGAGAATAATGAATAACAAATTGATTTCATCTTATATAATCCATTTTTTCTTACGTATGAATAACTGCTTGAAAATTTCAATCATCAAAACTTTCAACTTATCTATTACTAAAAAAAACGATTTACGAGAAAAATTTTAGTGATCAATGCTCATTTCTGTTTGAAAAACATATCAATTGTAAGTCATTAAATAAGAAATATAAAGTATGTGTTAGGATCAAACCGAAGGAATTGAGGCCGTAACGTTGCATGCTAGGAATGCCAATTTATAGTTCATATCTCGCACACCCAAAGCCTTCAACCCAGTAATACCCTCTTGCTCCTTTCCAATACCACGACGTCGATTACGACTGGAAGCTTCTGCTCGAAGTCCTTAAAATAAAATTATTCGAAAATTTTCCCGAAACAATTTAAATCTAAAGTCTGAACTTAACACTGAGAAATTTCTTACCTGGCGCACTCAGCTGAGCTACATCTGGAATGACAATCAGTGCACCGACGAAATCACACCGATCACCGGGTTGTATGGTTTCAACGAGTTCACCGCGTAAGATAACATCCAAACTTAATGGGATACTACCTCGTGGTAATTCCGCTTGAGTTTCTTGCATACGTATTTTCTGAAAAAAAAATCTGCTATTCAAAGCCTCTAATCATCAGGAAATATTAAAAACTTCAAATACTAAAAATACCTGAAAATCGATGAATGATGACTCGTAGATATCCAGCTGGAAACGACCACGATTACTGCATTGCTGATTTGCACATTGTGCCGGCTGCAAATCTGTTTTTTTTAGATGAAGCTATTATGGAAATTAATAAAGGTAATAGTTTAATTTATGCTGCAAGTTAAAAAAAATAACTCAGCAAGTTGTTAACTGTAAAGCCAACCACAAAAGTACATATATGTCACAATTTTACATCAAATTTCTAACTCAAAAATTCTATGAATCAGCAGCAAACCAAAAATAATACCGGTGTGTAGCGAAATTGTTGTTCAACATTTTTAACTTTCGTTCCACAGTCATCGCAGATAAAAACACCTTTATGAAGTTCAGGATATACTGGATGTGTTCGCACTACCTGTCCCGAAATACACGTCAAAGCGCCAATTTTACTAGCTGTTAATTCGCGAACTCTAGATTAAGTTCAAATATTAGATAATTTGGATGCAAATGTTTGGATAATAATGAATATAATGATATTTTTCCACAAATTCTTTTAAAAAAAAATAGCTGCAAGGGTCGGTCAAAGAAGAAAGACATAGACAAAACCTGAGTTTGTTTCTAATTTGTCCAATACTGACATAAAATTCCTTCCTTTGCAACCGTTGTCTTATATTATCGTCATTGCAACCATCCATGATAGTCAGGTGCAGAGCTCTACATAAATATGGATATAGTCTGCAAAATATAACTTGTCAGAAAAACTTTAAAATTTCAAATGATTTCAAATTATTTCATGATTGTCGAAAGTGCAAAAAAAGACTGAAATTATGAATCTTACCTATAAAACTGCAATTCAAGCGCTGATGCAAGCGTATTGCTGAAGGAGAAAAGGTCATCAAACTGGACAAACAGCGTGTTGCGTTCTGGATGGTATAGATGTGGAATTTCTTCTTTATAAATAAGTGTTCCATTTGCATTTTCGAATCTAGCAATAAATTTTCGTTTGATATTCCATAAAACATGTGTGAAACGATGTTTAGATTTGATTCAACAACCCTTATCAGGCGAAAGTTAACGATTTTAAAGTACTTCAAATCAAAAAATTTTGCTTGTCTAAATAATTGATTTTAAAGAACGAATGAAACTAAATACTGTGAAAAAAGTATTTTTTACTCATTGATGAATCGATAGAATTCATTTTGCACATGTGATCCTTCCGTATCGGTAATTTTTGGAACTGCAAGACTGCTATCCATTAATCTGATTGTTCTAGAAAACGGGATACTTCCTGAAAGAAAAAGTACTACTTACTACATTGTTTTAAAGATTAAATTACATTTAAACAGCATAATAACTATAACAATATCCAATCTAATGTTTCAAGGTACATTTGAATTAAAAAGGAAATTTTTTATATTCCAACACTTAAGTTGGAAATACTTCACAACAAAGTAATTAAATTTAAAAAGCATTTTACAATAATTTATCATAAAGTAATAAAGACTAGAAAATATTTTTCAAAATAGTTAAGATTTGCAAAATATTTACTAATTGAGTAAGTGAATTTTTATACTACAGTAATTTCAATTCATATTACATAATGATAACACTCAATTGGATTAATTTAGTAATATTTTAATCAATTTTTCGTTCACTTCTACGCTCTCTTCATATTCTGTCATCTTTTCTAACCCTAATCATCATTTCTAATCTTAAGAATTTATTAATCATCAGTAATATTCGCAATCTCTATCTAGCATTTCATATCTACCGGTTGATTCTTAGATTCCATAATATTGTTCATCTCTTTCTATTCTATCAATCTGAAATCTGGTCAATTCCAGGAATTTCCTTTTGGAATGAGGAAATGATCATCTATTCTTCATGCAAAAAGATCTTCAAGTATACAATACAAATCATAACCCGAAGCTAACTTCCAGGTACTTTCATCCGCAAATACAAAATGATTCCTTGCTAATTTTCAGTGTTCATCTAAACTCTTACATACATTACTCCAAACAGTTCTTACCTTACAAAACTTTTCCAAATGTCAAAGGTTAATCGTGTTCATTACATAAACACGTCATATATAATGAATAAAGAGCGGTGATACAAAAACCTCACTCTCTCCTAATGCCTAACCACTAAATGCTTTCCGCAATCATATTCATTCCGGTTTCCGCATTACCAATCAAACTTTCCTTCCCTGCCACTCATTCAAATCCACCCAAAAAGAGAAAAATTCGTGAAATTGATCGAATTTATAAATTGTCCTTTTCCGCCTTTTCCGTTTTGCAACAAATTCGGTTTCACACCATTTTCCGGCACCAAAGTTTTCATGGTATCCCATCATGAAGGGCCGTTGAAGTGGGCGAAAGGGAATTCAGTTGTGAGTCACGGGGTGTGAGGGCGTTTGCGGGGGAGGTCCAAATTGCCGGATAGTCAGATGAGTCGGTCATTTTTGGTAAGTTATCAAGTCAGTAAGCCGTTCCTCTCTTTATGTTACACTGTTGCATGTTGCTTGAATTTTATTCTTTAATATGTTAAGATAATGAAAAATTACGTGGACATTACTTTCTCAAAAGTAGAATTCATATCATAAATGAAATACTGAAGAATAGAGTATCTAACACTGCAAAGAAGTTAACTCCAAAACAATAGGCATAGACCCTGTGATTAGTCAGAGCACTGGCCATTGAATAAGAAACAAAGAAAAATTAAAAACAACTTTAGCCAACAAATTATTCATAGCATCCATCTCAATAAAACACTTAGGAAAAAAGAACGCACGTTATTTGTGTTAATCGTTAGGTAGAATTCTGAAACATTGCAGTTTGCATCAATCTCGATTTCTGGCATACATTATTATCTTATTATCTTTTACGCTAGTAATGTTTTGATATTATAAATTTGTTCTTTTCATTTTTTTTTCCTAAAAATCATTGAGAGAAAGAGTATATAAGAAATGTTTATAGTGATTGAATTGTTGAAATTCTTTAAATCCATTTTAGTGAAAATGATATAAATTAAACCTCTAATAATTATGTGAAATAATTGTGTGCCACAGTTTCATTGGACAAGAATGATAATAATCTGATCTTTTCAAAATATAGCGTTTGATTGCATTTATTTGCTTCATTTCTCCATTTTGTAATTGATATGTTTAAGGTTTATATTAATTTCGCTCGAAAATGGCCTCTTCTTCACGTCGATTGAAAAAAGTTTGTTGGCTTTTTTTGAAGCGATTTTTATTTAATTTTTGTAAATATAATGCAATTGATTTAAGCATTACCATATAGTGCGATAAACTTCATATGGTAATTGATTTTTGGTCGTTTACCGATTGGGTTGGCGCTGACAGTTTTATCATTTTTTTTTGAAATGTGACTTATATTGGTAACTATTTCCATTTTAGAAGCGAGGGTTGTTTAGCCATTTCATTATTATTAATGATTGCTCGATGTTCAAGTTGTGTATTTCTTGTGATTTTTAATCGTTGTTGTTTTGAACATGTTAGTGTCTTTTATAGGAATTGACAGATATTCAATCATCTGATTCGAGGACGTTCTGCTGTGTTGAATTTGACGAAAGTAATTTGCTTCACTGGACAGGTCTTCTTGTCCCGGTAAGCATATTAACAGATGAGTATGTCGCATCAAAGGAATAATGCTATTGATTTCGTGATTTGAGTTTTATGTTGGGAAGTTTGAACTAGTGAAAATACCTTTTGTAGATATCTTGTGTTTTTTATTGGAGCAAGATTAGTGAAATTGAAGGGCAAATTTATTAGATATTAACGAATAAGGCATTTCTTTATTTATATAATATTTGCAGGATAAAGAACCATACAACAAGGGAGCATTTAAAGTAGCTATAGATTTTCCAGTTGAATATCCGTTTAAACCACCTAAAATTACATTTTTGACGAAGATTTATCACCCAAATGTTGACGAGAAAGGACAAGTATGTCTTCCGATCATATCACCTGACAACTGGAAACCTGCTACCAAAACTGAACAAGGTTATTTTTTTGCACTGTGAGGTGTAGTTTTGAAGGGGAAATTATTACTCAGCATCTCCAGTCTGACATTTTGTTGATATAACTTCGAAATTATTTGCAAAATTTGTTAGTGATTAAAAGTGTTGACGGATGCAGAACTGTTGCTTTCATTCCATTAACAAATGTTTTTTTCAATGCTATGTATAATCACAGTTCAGTGATAACATTCTGAAAGTTTGTTAAAAGCGATAAAATTCGGCACATTCATATTTTGTGTAATCGTCGAAACCAACTTCTCAGTGATATTCTAACCTTGAATTAACATAACAGAGAATGACATGCTTTTTGTTGTGATGCCTCAGCTGAATATTGAAAAAAAAAACGATATGTGAACTTAAACTAGCATACTTTCCTGCTGCTTATTTCATATTGCTTTGAAATGATACGATTTTCAGTGATGAATGCACTGCTTGGTTTAATTACGGAACCAGAACCAGATCATCCATTACGAGCAGATCTTGCAGAAGAATTTACGAAAGATAGGAAAAAATTCAATAAAACAGCGGAAGACTACACGAAAAAATACGCAATGAAACGGCCAGATGGTTATTAGAAAGAATTAATACAACGAAATATTCTCATTTTTTTTCGGATATTTGTTTGTTAGTGTTGTGGTGTTCTTGTTCACTTTTGCAGTAATCTCGTTTACCCTTTCCATTTGCAATAGTTTTTCAAAAGTGACTTGCGCCTAACACGTTTTTATCACTTGCATAATTGCAAAAGAAACGTGTCCATAAATGTGTTCGAACTGTGCTTGGATATCATCAATGATTTATATTCATTTTCCTCTTGTACTTTACATTTCTTTCGTTTTTTTCCAGCTTTCATTTTAGTGTGGTAATAGGATCCAATCAATACATTGTTGTGAAATCGTTAGAAAACGCCGTTTGACCTGCTGTTTTTTGGTGAATTATTTCTTGCTATAAAATAACGTGATTAGAAATTTTGACAACTTAAACGCTTGTGAAGGAAAATGGATTTTTTTGGTTTAATTAAGATCGATTCTTATTTCAAGGTGACTTTGTTGATTGGAGTAACCGTTTTCAAAAATTGAAGTAAAAATGAATTCATCTTTATGATAAGGAAAAGGAAATATAAATGTGAGATAGTTTTATTTTTAACTTTCTAAAGTTACCGTAAAGTAGGTTATTGTCGCCTGACAGATGTATTCCTTGTTAGGAATAAACGTACACTATGGTGGTTTCTGCATCTTTACATTTCCTACTGATTAAGCTTAAAATAGTTAAGTTAGCTCAATGGGTAATGTTATCACGATCAAATAAGTTGAAAATAGAAGTTACTCTTCTATGTTTAGAAGGGCAATGGAAATTAATTTCACCAGACTGTGAAACGCTCATACTTGGATATTTAACGCCTAATGTAAAAATTGTGCCTGGATATTTGATTACGTGAAAGGAGGTCAAGAAAATCTTCACCTTCGGTTATGTACGCTATAGTTGCTCTACATAGCTGAGCTTAAAAATTCCTTCCTTAAAAATTTGAGTGTAAGCAAGAATGGAATACAAATTAAATGTTGTGCTTTTGCTTGATATGCTTCAAGTTGAATTTTGTTAATTTATAGGGAAATTTGGAAAATAGCATTAAATAATGGGTCGGGGACAGTCGATGACAGTATTGGTGACTGGTGGCACAGGCCTTGTAGGACGATCCATTGAGAAGGTGGTGTTTTTGTTTTTTTCTCAAGTTCATAAATTATAATCTTAATTAGCGGTAATAGTGTATCAGGAGAATTTTATCCTTCTTTCAGATTTATGTTGTTCATTGCACACAGAGGATGTCAAATTTATCAGGCATGTAAATTAGATGCAAAAAAAATAAAATTAGGTATAAAACTTCATTGAAAAATTATTATTCATGATATAGAAAACGAACGAATTATTTGGCGAAACAGTTGCTACTTATGCTAATATCATTTTTTCTGTTATCAGATATCATTCTGTTACATATTGGATTTACCGTAACATTCTCAAACATTCATTTATAAATAAATTTCATTTTCAGTAGTTTTGAAAAAGAAATTATGATAAATTATAGATGAGGATTGATTCCATTATCAGTTTATCCTGTTTCGACACATTTTGCAGATAATAACAACTGAGGAAACACGTCCAAATGAAAAGTGGATTTTCATTGGCCGAAAAGATTGTGATTTAACGGATGCTGAAGCTACCAGAAAACTGTTCATGAAGCATAAGCCTTCTCATGTGGTTCATTTAGCTGCTATGGTTGGCGGTCTTTTCCACAATCTCCATTGTAATTTGCAATTCTTTCGAAAAAACATGGTAATTGGGGACTTGCTTTGTAACTTCTTTTATTGAACTTTCCTAAAGACAGCAGTAAAAAGCCGCTAGTAGCAATTTCTGCAGACTCAGCGGATGAGCACTTCTTTCCAATCATGTTGTCCATCTGAGACTCTAGTACTTTCATCATTGTCTGCCGATTATAGGACTTGAACTCGTTGCTTTTACCGCTTCCCAAGAACACTACCGATACACTACTTTCACACTGATTAAGGATTAGTAGTTATTCCAATTATATATTTGAAATGTTTTTCCGACTAAACAAAATTTGATTAAGTTGATCGGTACTAACTATCGAAAACTGTGACTTCTTTTTATATTGATTTTGAAGTTAATGAAAATTTTAATTGCCGTAATTCATTTTAAGGTGGAAATAGTACATTCAACGAGGTTTTGTTTCAGCAAATCAATGATAATGTACTAATGGCATGCAATGAATTCGATGTTATAAAGTGTATATCATGTCTGTCAACATGTGTCTTTCCGGACAAAACTGCATATCCAATCGATGAAACTATGGTAAGTGAGAATTTTCGCATCATATCGAATGTCTATTTTAACTACGATTATTCTATTATACGTTACATTAGTTCTTATGTAGTACATCTAAATTATCAGAAATGGATATTACCAATCTATTCAGGCAAAAGTGATATTATTAATCTTCAAATTGCTCCATTTATTTAAATTGGCTGGTTTGTTTTGATCGATCGATATATAGTAATTTATTTAAATTTTATATTTGCTATACTTCATTATTATCTAATCATGGTTGTCCATGCACCATCATTATGGCATATAATGTCCAAATCGATTATGTATAACACTTTTGTTTTTATGTTTTCACTTAATCAATCCAAAAATTCGATTAGTGGTAATTATTTTACAGGTTCATAACGGTCCTCCTCATAACAGTAATTTTGGTTATTCATATGCGAAAAGGATGATTGATGTGCTTAATAGAGGATATGCTCAAGAATTTGGTCGGTAAGTCATCCGACTTATTGAAAAATTTCATTGTTCTACTAAAAGTTCGTCTGATATTGAACAGTTTTTATTCAATTTGTCCATTAAGAATAATATCGAATTCAAATCTAACAATATAAATTTATTTATAGTGATTTTCAGTTATTTATTTGATGTTGATTTAAACAAAAAACTAAATATTTATTGTATCATTTGTGACATTGCAACAGTTTTTATTATTTTCTAATTTTTCGTTCAAATCTTGCAGAAAATATACATCTGTAATACCGTGTAATGTGTTTGGACCATATGATAACTACAATTTAGAAGATGGGCACGTCATTCCGGCCTTAATTCATAAAACCTATATTGCGAAGCATAAAAGGACTCCCTTGGAAGTTTGCATTTGACTCACAGTATCATTTGTGATGTTAATGCAGTTCAAATAACTCGATATTTCGTTTTCGTTTTTTTGTTTGTATTATTCTTTTCAAGCAGATTTTCTTCCTCTTCATGGAAGAAAAGATGAAAGAACAATAAAAGGGCTATAACAATATATATTTTTCAAAAATATTTTTTTACAAAAATATTAAAATAATATCTGAGAAAAAATTCATTTTATTATTATATTTCCTGTAATATTTTCAAAAACCATTACTCACCCTCTTTTCAGGTTTTTGGTAGCGGTACACCGTTGCGTCAATTTATTTACTCCCTTGATTTGGCTCGATTATTCATTTGGGTCGTGCGATCTTACGAGGTTCATTTCTTTCACACTTTATTCAGATCGAGTTTTCTTCTTCCTTTGAAATTTAGTTTTGCAGTATTGTAGCGAATTTCAGGAAATTGATCCAATCATATTATCAGTAGGAGAGGAAGATGAAGTATCAATTATGGACGCTGTTCACGCCATTGTCAAAGCTTTCGACTTCAAAGTACCATTTGAAAATGATCCCTTAAATATCAAGATCGGCGGACATTTCAACTGACACTTATTCCTAGTGAATGACAGATAGGTTTATCTGAAATTATTTCAGGGTGAAATAGTGCAAGACAGAACAAAAGCTGATGGGCAACACAAGAAGACTGCATCAAATGCTAAATTACGTAAATATTTACCAAACTTCAAGTTTACACCATTCGAAGTAGCAATCAAAGAGTCCGTTGATTGGTTTATTGCCAATTATGACAGTGCACGCAAATAATTATAAGTATGTATGAAAATGATAATTTGTTGGTAAATTCTATTACATTAAGCATATTCAGAAACGAAACAATTATATATTAATAAAGTAATTTGATTTTCAAAAAAATAAGTTACTTCATTTATTTGTTGCCATAATTACAACGAAATTAAATGGTTGCAATTCGTTGTTTTTTTTTATTCAAACAATTATTCTTAAAGCTTTAATTGCTATAGTCATTTAAAATAATCAAAGCATTCCATTTACTGCCGATTGGAAGATAACATTAAATACTAGCAACAGTTGCTGAACTTACGATACATTTCTAATTTTTATCAATATTCAATATTAGTGATAAATTATTTGGTTCCAGACCATTTAATTTGCAACATTATTTATTTTTTCTTAAATTCAATCATCTGAACAGCGGTATGTAAAGGTGATTGGCTTTTTTTGTTTTGAGGTTAAACAGATAACAGGTAAATGGGAACAATAAACAACGTGAGATCTCGGTACTTTGATTCAAAGCTCAAGAGTTTATTCGCAAAGTTTCTGCATCATTTTTTGATAATCAACTAAATTATCTCCTAAATCTGATTTAGTCTTCATTCACCTCGTTTTCTATGCCTCACATATGCATAATCTTAAACCAGAAATAGTTGAATTTTTTTGGCAATTGAAATATTCTAAATTACTTGTAATCCTCAGAATATTAGAAGCTCAGAAGCATGGTTTAACAAGTCATTCTATCATTTTGTAAATTTTCATTGACAACTTTTACAAATAGTATTCTGATCGTTACAATGGATAGTATCAAAGTGATAAAATCATTTGGTAAAAACAATATAAATTTAATGTGAAAGAATAAGTCTTACTTTCTGTGAATAATGGCCTAATTTGTACACATATGGTATCGCATCGTTTTCGTTTACGTCTCGTATGATAAGGTTACCGTCTATAAAGGTTATCCGATTCCCAAAACGTCTTGCCTACAACATATTAATTACAAAAAACGTGAAGTATAACAATAATTGTTTGATTTTGTTTTAAATTAAATTAAATTGTATTGATATGAGATATTTGAAAGTGTTGTCAGTTAGTTCTAATTATTCCTTAATACTATATTATCAATAAACAAATTATGTTTTAATTAAATCTTTTCTTTACTCACAAAAATACAAAACAAATAATTTACCCCATATTTTGTTATTTTACCATCTTTGATTATTGCCCTATAATAGGCGATGCCACTTTCAGAACATTTCAATTCGATGTCAATATTGCGAATGAATTTGTCGAATTTCAAATGTACCGTTTGGCCAACTTTGGTTTCCACATTTGCTACACTTCCATAAACTTCCTCATATGCAAGACATGCTAGCATAATCACTGCATTTAGAAAGCCATTTTTGTTTATATCATTGAAATGATAAATTCAAAATAAAATTTAAAAAAAAAAACTTCAATGAAAAATTTAATTATGTAAGCCATTTTACATGTAATATAGAAGAGACAAGAAAAAGCGAGTGAGAGAAATGCAAAAAAAAAGTAAAAATTGAAAGCAACCGAAATTTGAATTCTTTTCCACGAATTTCAGAAATAATTGATATTTAGTTTCCTTCTTACAAAATTTAGAAATGAACAAAATTTAAATCCATTTCTAAAAAACTTCTTTCTCTTTTGTTTATTCCATCTAATTCATATTACCAATCAATTTTATATCAAAGCAAATAATGTAAGTGATAATGAGAAAGAATCTTTTCCGAAGAAAGAAATTACATTTTGATTAATCATTTCCTAATCTTTATTTGTATTACATTATGATACATTTTTTATATGCTATCTATTATCATTTTTATCCAATTTATCTTTCTCCTTCAAACTTTCATCTCTTATCTATTAGTAATTGTGGGTATTTAATTCCAAAATCTAAAATTTCAATTTGATGCAAATATATCTTCTTATTTCAACATGCAAATACTTAAAATGTTTTTAAAATCTCAATTCGTTTCTATTTCACTTAATTAATAATTCTCTTGTTAGTTTATCTTTAATGGAAAATTTTAAAATTAACTTGTACTTATCGCTTTAAGAGGAAAAAAATTTTCTTATGATGAAAATATTGGATTGGATTGTGAAAAAAGCAAAAATGAAAATTTGAAAAAATAAAAATGATGTGTTGAAAGCATTAACACTTGATCCTCCCTTGCGTCATTCATTGGAAAATTGTTGTAAATGCAACATAGCAAAAATCAATTAAAAAATTTGTTCCATTGTAAAAGCTGCTAAACAATTTCAATATAAATACATTAACCGGAAAAAAAATATGATAAATGTAAAATAACTGCAGCAATTAAAGAGAAAAAATTATTTTTCTCGAGAAGAATGTAATATCTGTCATATAATGTAAAAATTAGTACGATATGATATTTTTTTTTAATTTAATAACTTTTTTAAAACTTTTAATAGTACTTTTAATGCTTTTAACTTTTGATATTAAAATTTAATAACTTTTAATTTAATAACTTTTTTTAATATTATGTGAAAAAATGCAATATCTATTATAATGTAAAAATGAATACATCTATTCAGTATAAAAAAAAGTGCATAAATTAATTAATAATTAAGTGAAATAAAAGATGAAAATTATCCTCCTAATAATTGCACAAATTTTTTTCCTTTAAAATAAAATAAAATAAAATAAATTTCAAACAACTTTTTCCATTACAAAAAGAAAGAAAAATTTAATTTTTTTTCCAAAAATAAAAGTTTGCTTTTTGTACTAAACAAGAAGTTAACAAGCAATTATTTCATTCGTTTTATTTTCTGGTTTTTTTCTTCCCAATGCTTGTTAAAGAAAAATGTCAAATGATAAACAACAAAATTTTCCTTTGAACATACCTCTCATCAAAATTAATTTCATTTTTTGCATCTTTTTTGGTACAGTGATACTGATTCGTTAGGGGGGGTTTGTCAATTTATGGCTATTAATGAAATTCATGCAAAATTCACTCTACAAATCTATTTTAGCTTTAAACTCTCTAAATACATTACTAATTTTATCATTTGAATTTTAAATTTCCCTTTTCCATCTTTCTTGCCTAAATTATACTTTATTTGTGCAAATTTCTTTGATTAAATTTATGCTACCTTTGGAATGAATGCAAAATTGTTTTACAAGTACAGTTCAATTTTTCTTTCTGTTTTTTCCTTTCAAAGCATCTTGATAGACAGTTAGGAAAATATGTATATTTAAATATTTGAACATTTTAAGCATGTAAAAGAAATTATGGAATGCTTTTTAATGTGTATTATTACTCATCTAAGAGAATCACATCGATACTGATCGGTCTTCAGTATTTAACACTTTCAGTATTTAGTTCATTATTTTTCTTTTTTTTTTTTGATTTAATTGATTTGGTTGTTTAATCAAGGAATAATAACTGACTACATTGTATTCAAGTTAATTCATGATGAGTTTTAAATTTCCTTAAATGAGAGAACAATCGAAAGAAAGTTTAATTTCAATCAACTGCAATTAGAAATGAATTTGAATAGAAATGTAATTTTGGGATGATAAATTATAAAATTTTGAACTGATTAAATAAAGGATTACGTTGTTTGCAAATTTAGGAAATTATCCATTTGCAACTTATCACGGATAAAAATTGCAATTATCATATCTGATATCTATTATTTTGATCATTTTTTTTTTGCTATTCTATGACCATATAATAATGTTTGTTGAAAAAACAACTAAATGATAGGTCAGCATTCGATCAACTGATAACAAAAGCAATCAACTAATTGATTGATGGAATAACAACTAATTTACTCTGATTAATCATAATTTTACTTATAACTTCACTATACGTTCAGTTTACGTAAAACATGAAAATTCAGCAATTTTTGGTTGTATCACAATAACTCATTTAGGTCGAATGAAAATGAAGTGAAAAATGAAAAGTAACAGAGTGACGTGCGGATAAAAATAAATTTTATGAAATCATTGAAATGACATCATGGAATGTAAAAAAAAAAATATTTACGTTAATAACAAATCACTGATCATTTCATTGACGTCAATCGCTTGAACTGAAAAGCAATCAAATGATATATAATGATGTATTTAAAGTGTTATTTGGTATTTTCCGAGAATTTACGAAACATTTATTTACAAATTTAAAATTTCCAGTTTTAATATTAGATTGAACTGTTTTAAATAAACGTAGGGAGCATATTTAATTTATTATGCAAATTTGTTCTCTGTTTCTTTTAAAATTTTTGTTGGAAATTAAAATTTATTTGAACATTTAATTGAAATGGGAGTCCTCCGCACATTTTTGTTTTACATTTATCGTTTATGACAAAATTTATTTGCATGAAATGATGTAATTAAGCATTAATTTAATTAATTTTTAGAATGCAATTTTACGATAAAATTATTTCAAAACAGCACAATACAATTTGGTGACAAAAAACGGAATCAATTGCCGAAAGCGCTACATGATAGGAAAACAGGTAAAATTGCATTCAAATTTTGCAATTTTAATAATTTAGTTCTATTTCCGAAGTTCGAAAGTTTCAAATATTTATAAGTTACTTGATCAATATTTTAATTTTTTATTTTACATAATCACTTCCAAACTTTCCAATAGCTAATATTTACTAATTTCATTTGATAATTTACATTTAATTATTAGTAAGTTACAAAGGAAATTTTACATTATTGTTTTTCACATATGTCACTTTTTTAATAAGAATGAACGAAATTAATTAAAAATATGAGAATGAAGTTTGTAAATCAATAAATTGAAACTTATTTATTATATTTGTAGTTGTTTTTTATTTTTTTTATTTTTAATTTATTTTGCTGTTTTCTTTGCAGAATTCAGTAAATTTTCACGGAAAAATTCAATCAGTTCGGCAAGAATAAAAAAGACTATTCATATCTTAATATGTTCGGGAGTATCAATTTACCCTAAAATTAATTTTTCAATAAATTTGTGAATGATTAAGTAACTGTAAATAAATAATTAACTGTAAGTGTCAAGCACAAAACTCAAACAAATAAAAATATCATTTTTGAAACTGATTGAGGAAGTTTTTTTCTTCAATTTTCTTCCCTTACTTATTTTCATTTTTGTTTTTTAAGATAGTTTATCAATATTTTTACTGATCGCTATAGTCATTTTAATCCTTGAATTTATTTTTAAACGCTAGCTTATTGATTTCGCGAGGTTCATTTTTTTTTTTAATCATAATAACAATGTGGCAATCTCTCTCTTTCTTGTAGAACTGTTTGAAACATTTGGTAAAATCACTTGAGATTTTAGAATTTTTTAAATAATTTATAATTAACAAATTGCTGAATAATAAAAATTGAACAATAATTAGATTTCTGAAGAAGATAAAATTTATTTTTTAAAATTACTTTATGTTGGTTATATGAATGGAAAATATTCTTAGAAGTTAAAACCTTCAGAAACATTGCCTCAAGAAAATTTCTAAGTGAATTATTAACCATTCAAAACAAACTTTAATCAAATATTAAATGAAATTATAGTAAAATTCAATTATGCGCTGCATTTTCATCAAGTTTCTTTAGGTTCTTTGTTATATGTGACATTTTGTTTTCAAATATACTTTTTGATCTATCGTACATTAATCACATGTACTCCTTGATATTCTCGGATTAGAACACGAGGGTATACCAAACAGGTTTCCGCGAATCAGTATATTTCCTCCAATTTACTCAATCGGTTGTTGAATTATTAGTGATTCGCATGCAGTTTTTGACTTAATTTAGTGCAATTTTTTTTTGCTTTAATTCCTAAATTTCCCTACTACAATTTTCCTGAAAACTACCTTCCTAAAAAAATTCGCCGTATAAGTCATTAGATCACATATAGTTCTCAAAAAATTTGGATTTAGAAATTCCAGTTTAAGCAACTGCATCGCTTCAACTAGAGTTTCTAGATCAAGTTTAGTTCCATTTACCTAACTTGATTTAAGTTCAACAAATAACTCAACCTGTATTCCAACAAGAACGCGGGTGAGAATTTGCATATTTCAAAGCAAACAATTGTTCCAGTTTATTTGTAAAGCATTGCAAATATTATATTTCATATCCATGATTTGTCACTAATAAACTCACTCAATACTTAGTGTAAAACAATATTTTTGAAAAGCAAAAAGTTAGAATCAGTGATACAAGACAGTAATCTCTTCAAGCAATTAACGTAAAATAATATCATTAAAAGATATATGGAGGAAAGATTATACGTTATTAATTTTACTTCATCGAATTTCTTTTATTGTTTTTGAAAGTGAATAAATTGTACACAAAAAATAACTAGAATAAACAATAAGAAATGTTCACAATGGATATAATTCATGAACAATAACACTGACAAAATGCAAAAAAAAGTTCACGTTTTTGCAACATTTTATGAAGCAGTTTGCTTCATTTCTGAATCCACGTCATTAACATCTTTCTCAGTTGCGATATTCTCTTCTGCTGCGACATGTTTTGGATCAACGATTTTGAAAAGTCCATTAGCCTGAACTCGCACATCCTGGAATGATCGTCCATCTTCATCCGTCCGCAACCTACTCCGGAGCTGACCGCTCACGTAAACCTGTACTCCTGAAATACATTCGACACTTTGATAAAGAAGTTAAATCACCAATGATCTAATACTCCAAAAATAATTATCTTTGCGCAAAGAAGGATAATTGCAAAATGATCGAAACAATATACCTTCACGTATATGATCCTTGATATAATCCACTGTATTATTAGGAGCAAAAACATCAACAAATGAGACAAATCGTCCAGAACCTCGACGATCTACTTCAAAAAACTTTATATATATTTTTGACAATTTTATCCAAAAATTCAAAGTTCTGGTTTTTTTGCCTTTGGTTTTTTCTTGGATCTAAATACTTCCATTTTTTTTTGAAATCGATTTCATTTCTTAAACGCAATCAATATTGTACCAGTTGTTGTTGACAGCTTTACAATAGCATATTGTCGGCCGGTTGGCATCGTATATACTCTCGGTGGTCCTCGAACAATACCGGTCACTTCAATATGATTCTCACTATAAAAATATAGTGTAATAAGGAATAACTAACAGAAAAGAAAAAAATGTGCTCAAGATAATGTCAAATCTTGAAAATAATAAAAAAGGAAAATTTTGATCCTTTATATTCCTAAAGTTCTTTTTCTTATTCATATCAGTTTTCCAGGATATTTCAAAAAAAAAAAACATCATATGTCTTACTCAAAATTATAACGTGCCCTAGGGTCTACATCAGCTTCCGATCCTCCAAAATCTTCTGCATCTGCAGGGAAATTTGCACCATCACCACTGATTTCTTCAACCACCTTCTGATCCTGCGTAGCCAAATTTCTGCCACTGTGCTAAAAAAAATATTAGAAAACCATTAATCTTGCAAGCAAATACAATGAGATACGCAGAATCTTGTCAAAGCCTTTAATTCAATTTCTGAAATAAATACAGCAACGATAGAATTAAGATGAACAATTGAATTAATCACTGTACCATAACATTTAATTCACTAAGATCACAACACAGTTACTTACTGAACAAGATTCAATGCTTCTTATCAATTAGTATCAATGCTTCTTATCACTTAGTGTTCACTATTAAATATCTTACTCATTAGAAAATAATAAAGTATACCTGCAGCAGTTGTGCTCGTTGTACAACACGCCATCGCACCAATGCTCGACCTAATAGTTGGAGCATTTTCTTAAAATGTTCATCAATTAATGGTGAGATGAGAACTTTACCAAAACGGTATCTATTTGTATCCCAATAACTTACAAGTTCCTTGGAAACTACCCGCATAATTCAGGACAGTACTAGAAGATACGAAAAAGAATACTAATTATACATTCGAATATATTTACGACACCTTTTAAGTAAAATGTATATCGATATCATAGTTTGATGCTGATAGTGTGGCCCTCAAATTATCCCCATCAACCTATGATATCGACGTACATCAGTACAGTATTATATTGTACGGTATATGAGATCTATACATACAGTACTTGCATTCACGAAAATACAACAGTAAACCTATACAATAATCTAATCCACTATCATCAAGACAAAGTAAGAATGATATAGGAGTATTAGTCATCCTTACTTGGAAAAATGTAAAATTTTTACAATACGAGAAAATAATCGATGATAGTAAATTAGATTAGATTAGTATGGATATATGCTCAAAAATCAAACTATAGAAACAACGTAGAGAAAATATTACAGAAATATAAATTATGCGTTAGTATAATATCAGAGATTGAGAAAATTACTGAAAAGAGTGTTATTTTCGAAGAGTTCGCAGAGATTGATAGTTAACAAGAAAAGTATAGAAATCATCACAATACAAGAAAAAAAGCTAAGTTGCCTAAAAGTACAAACTAATTTTCCCCTGGACATGATTAAGCATGCCCGTAGTGATGTAGGGAGACTAGTTTCTCATGCATAGTGATACAGACCACGGGCCTCCTGAATTTTCCTAAAATGCAAGGTGTGTTAGCTGACTTGACGTTTATCTGGTCTGGTGCGACAGAAAGCCATACTAGGCTCTTTAAGTTGTGCGATAGAAAAGCCATAGCTACGCAGATATAATAGGCATTTGGAGTAAATGTTGTGAGGTCAGGTCCGCGGAACCTCGTTATGATCTGTAGGATTGGGTGTAAATGAACTTCTATTTGAGGGTACGATATTTTTGGATATCAGCGTGAACTGGTGACTTGTATTTATTAAGAATTCCTGACTCAAAAGAAATCATTGCAATTCTCGACCTTTGCAACAGAGGATTTTCATATATATATATATATATATATATATATGCATAATATAATCTCTAAATTACAGAGAGATTTTGGAAGAAATGTTCCGTGAAGTATTGTCAAGATATGTTCCAGGCGTACCTGTAGTGCAGCAGGTTTTTTGTTTCTCTAATTATATTTCCTATTTTATATCCTTGTAAATAGAATCTAGTCTTTAGTTTTCGGATGAAATCTTTCATTAGGTACTGTCGTAATAACTAGTTAATTGATTAATATGGCTCATTTTTGTATAGGAGCCATATCAGGATGGTTTTTTTGTGGATGTGAGAGATGAGTTTGATTAAGTTGATTAATTTTACAGCAAAAAATGTTGATATATGGCTAAAAGCAATAAACAGATTCACAATGTATATGTATAAGTTATTTTTTAAAAATAGCAAATATTTCTTCAGGTTTCTAGGCGACTGTTTGCAGCGCAAGCCAATTTACAACAGCCGACAGATGCAAGCAGTCATCCATCATCAGACAAACCTAATGAACAGATTACCCCGGCGGTCAGTCGTAGGAAGTAAGGTATCCTGTATAGTTCGAGTATTACTGCTCTGTAACTGAACATATAACAAACAACATTTTGTTTTGTTGTTAAAATTTTGGAAGAATATTTTCAAACTAGTTCAATCATTAATTTTTGCTTAGCCAACTGCTTAACTGATTATTAGTCAATTAACCAATTAATCATTCATTTCGATGGCGAGTTAGTTTTATTCATGAATTAGTTGCTTCGTTAGTGAAATGTATAATTACTAAGTGGATTATTTAGTTAATTGTGTAGTTATTCCCTATTCATTTCGTGCAATTGTTCACTTCTTCCCTACAGAATATAAATTATATTGCAGCATCAATCGAGTTTGCCTTAGTGGAACAGTAACGAGCAAACCGTTCTACGGAACAAGCAGAAATGGCGGTAAATTTGGAGTTGTTCGAATCACCTCAAATTCATTTGGAGGTATTACTTTTTATATAATACTTATTGATTTTATTTTCACAAATAATCGTTTAGGTTTAGGAATAAATTCTGCTCAGATGATTGGGATGTTTATTGTTGAATGTTGACTTTCGTAATGAATTTATTGTTGCTGTTTGCTTTCGTGAGTGTTCTCATCGGGATAATCGACTCATATTTGTACATTATATTTGTACATTTGTACATTATTTATATTGACTGATAGATAATAAATAATTGCTTGGAACATTTGTTTGTGTAAATCTTGATTTGTTAGAAAAAATAAGTTGATATTTTAAGAAATGTGTTTTTATTTGTTGAATAGATTCAATACATTTAGATGTTTTATAGGCCATTATGATTTCCGAGTGCGTTTAGGAACACGGACATCGCTTGCATATTGCAAGGAAAATGTCGATGAAGGTAGGCTTCAGCAATGAAATCAAAGTCATATTGAAATTATTTATAAAAAAATATGGGAATTTAATTTCTATTTTTGCATATTTTAGGTTCGCATTTGTTTGTTTTCGGTCGTTTAGCGACTTTCCCAAGAGCTGCAGCAGATGGAACGCAAGGCTCAAGTGGAACTATAATGGCATCCCGCATATCAGTGGAAAGCAGTTCTGCTGCAGCTGTTATAAATGAAAACGAACAATTTGAAGACATTGACTTGTCAGCCGAGGAAGATTTAGAACAGAGTGAGACAAAAAAATGAACGTTTTTAATTTGTCATTATTTCTGTTTGTCTGTTATAATTAAGATTTCGAATTTTCGATACCGTTTTCGATATGTGTAAGAAATATTTTTTTTCAAATAAAATTAGAATAAAGAGTCTGTTTTGATTGTTATGAAAAAGTTTTACAAGCTGTATTTAAGATTGATCTCCAATTTTTAGACTTGATAAATTGAATTTAATTTCAATCTAATGATGGTATAATACATACGGAAGAATAATCAATATAACAGATGATGAAATAATAGTAAACTTGATAATAAAAGATTCTACGTATAGGTTTGTAGTAATGGACGACACGCATTCAGTTTCTTTTCAAAACTCGGTACTAACTCTTAAGGAAAGTGTTGTTGCAAAGATAATTTGTAGAAATAAGATAAACAAGAAATTATTTAATTTGTAAAGTTCTGCTGTACCACCCGTTTGATATCAAAATTTGAAGACGAAATTTGGTCAAAAATTATATTAGTACTTGACTTAATTAGTCTGCTGAAAATTATATGAGGGAAGCTTGTGTTTTCTTATGGTGTAAGTCTTTTAAATTTCAACTTTCTTTTGTGTGCAAGAAGTATTGATGGAAAAGAGAAGCAGAAATGCTGCATCCATATGTATATCTGTGGAAGTTACTGTATAAACTTGGTAATGTAAATAATTGACTAACATACTGACGATATTTTAGTTGAAGCATAAAGGCTGTTCGGTACTACCATTCTTTCACATTTGAGTGAATGATGCTGACAGATTGTTGATAAGTGAATAAAAATCTGTTTGTTATATGAGACGATAGATAATTTGGGTTTAAGGTCGGGTTGTATCACCCGGTACTTCAGTTATAATTGGATGCTTAAGCAATTTTACATTTTGTAAATGATGATGCGAGAAGTGCAGTAACTGTGAAGGAAAACTGTGATACGAAAGACTTAACTTTTTCAGAACTTTTCTGTTACTCGACGTGATTGATCGCTTAGTTCAATGTCATCAAATCCATTTGACGATAATTATGTAAATCCTAGTGTTTGTAAAGGTAAATTCACTTGTTTTTACCACATATCAATATTCATTGCATTTTTTCACCAAAATTTAACTTCTCGACGGGGTAACAGGAAATTTTGAATTTTCAACTTTTCTATATTATCTTTTAATCGTTTTGTATAAGCATTTCACATCATATCATAGATACTTCAGCAAGATTTAATTCCAAAAGGAACAGAAGTATCACTTAACACCATTATTATTTCATAGTATTAGGAGATGTTTTACTGTATTCATCCCTAACAAACTGTGATGAGTTCCATCATTCATTTTTTGAATGCCATGAAAGATTTTATTCATTCTTTATTGACATCTGTTTGTAAACATAGTATGCTTGATTTAATGCATATTCAGATAACCAAAATAACACGTATTTTGTTAGCATGTGTTATAAATATTACTATTAAATTAATTATAAGACATGAAATTATTTTATATCCAGAAAGATTTTTTTAACGTTGTAACATTTTCCTTAGCCTTACTTGATAAAAATGAATTTTAACTCTAACAGTTACAAAATTCAATTTAGGATTATAAGTCATAGTTATTTGCGTTAAAATTTATTTAATTTCCAGGACCGGTGAAAAGTTACACAACGATGAATTCTAACAATGATGACGGTAGCATTGAAGATGTTGTTAATTTTTATGAACGAGAACTGGAGCGTTACATGCAAGAATCATTAGATAGTACAGAGCGATCAAGAAAGAATTTGGAACAAAGTGAACAAATTGGTATCGCAACTGCGCAGGTATTGATTGCTATTTTTTATTTAGAAAAAGATACGAATGAATTTTTTTGTTTAACTGATTTTTTCAGGATTTACTAACTCAAAGGGAGAAGCTAGAACATACGGAAAAGAATCTTGATAATATTGATAGAACAACGAAAATGACTCAGCGTAATTTGAATAGTTTAAAGTCCGTCTTCGGTGGTTTCTTTAAAAATAAATTTTCTCGTGCACCAAAAGAGGAGCCACTAGTAAGATTTTGATATTTTTCAATACTTATAATTTTGTAAAAGATGAAGGTAGAATAAAAATATCAAGAATAGGTTTTTTTTGAGTGATAATTTCTCCGCTGATTATTATTTTTATTCACACTATGGTGCATTGAATTAAGGTCTAGTATTGTGTGCTATAATGAACACAATTATGAATTAATGATTTTGTGATTTTAAAATAGAATAAATTTTACATCAATTTTATATGAATTCGATTTTCATCGTAGTACATAGAATGCATCGATTGAGTGATGAATCATTACGATTAATAATATATGTTAACGGTTCATGTCACAGATGTGTGTACATTAGTTGTAGTCTACATATGAATAATTACAGATGGTTCCATTAAAATCGGATTTAGTTCTTGGAAATACTGTGGATAAATTAAGTGGTGTTACCAAAGCAGGTTCGAGTTATGTTGGAGGTGTGGTATCTGCATCCGGTCCAACATTAAGTGAAAGTTCACGGGCTACAATTAAAGGAACGCGGTGGGAGGCCATGGATAATGAAATCGATTCTAATCTTGGTAATAATTCATATTGCATCTGATAATTTCATGCAGTTTTAGTAATTTTTTAAAATATAGAATGGATTTAGATTCAATGAGTTCACAACTAGCTCGATTGCGTATGCTTGGAGAAGCTATTGGCGAGGAAGTTGATTCACAGAATGAAATGTTAGATAGAATTCAAGTTAAAGCTGAACGCACCAATACACGTGTCAAGGATCAGGATAAGCAGGTCTGCGCTTTGCACGTGCATGAATTGCATCTTAGGAAAGCTTTTAGGTCTTCAGTTTTGTTTAAGATAGCTGCAGCTTGATCTGAATTATTCATTTAAATTGATATCACATTTCGATTAAAATTAATTCCGTGTTTTTCAAGATGAAAAAGTTGCTTGGTTCAGCAGATAAAGACGAAATGCAACCTTCGCTGCCATCTGTTAGCAAGAAGAGGTGAATATTCATTGAAATTTTTTTTTCAAGTTTTTAATTGAAATTGGAGTCAAAATAAACAAGAGAACTGAAAAAGAATAGTGGTTTAAATATGTGCTGTAATAACAAGCATGAGAAACTGTTATGATGTTTGGAATTATTTTCAGAATTATGTATAGTGCGGTCAAAAGTGCTTTCTAATATCCGAGCAGTTGCATATAGTCGATGCAAATATCATCATTTTCTGCCCATTTCTATAATTTTTTTTTTACTTTCCCATATATTAGAAACAGAAGATAATTACAATTTAAGTTGTAAAAATATATATGGATGAAAAGCTATCGTAACTTATTATTATCTCACAAAAACCTATTGCTAATTACAATTGTAAATCACTCAATAAAACGTCATATTTCGAAAACGCCCATAAAATACTTCTTTTTTCGCATAGTCTTGTAATTCAGCTTGCAACATATGCTGCGTTTATTATTATTATCCTTAATGCGCATACTTTTACATTTTATGATGAAGAAAAATCTTCTCTTTCTCTTTTTGTAATTATATTTCATAATACATAGCAATTATTTAAAAAAAAAATAGTAGAAAATATTATGAGCATTACAGCAAGCTTATCAGTTTGCTGCATAATTCTACCTTCAAAATTTCACTGCCACATATTCGGAATTATTTGAAAAATACCTAATATCTTTCATACTATAATATCAAATGATTGTCAGTGGCGTTTTCTTCTATGATAACCTCTTCTTTTGCATAAAATTTTTTAGTCTACATCTGATGGAACTTCATCACATTTCATGAATACACAACTATATATTATCTATTAATAGATATAATTGATGCAAAACAGCATTACTCATTCGTATTTTCATAATATATTTCTATTTCGAAACGATAGATGGAATAAATTTGCATACAATTGAAGTAATTCTAGCTATTACAAATATATTAGCGATTACAACGTCAATAAGCATAATGAGTGTTTTTTTCATGTGAATAAATTTCTTCATTGGTAAGTTATTCATAATCATCGACGTATCTGTCTCAATTTGGTGGGAGTTTTTTTTTTTTTTTCTAATTGATAATAAAGGAAGAGAAAGGATTGTTGCTAAGTTACCAACAAAAATCAACAGAACAATATTCAAGCAATAAAATCTTAGTGCCAAATTGTTGTACTGCAATAGCATCCGTTTTTTTTTTTTAATTCATAATCATTTCATAGCTTTTAAATTAATTTTCCATTTCAACTCCTTGCTGGCTAAATAAATGTGCAATGATAAAATTTAGGGAAAAGAAACGCAAAATGAAAATTGCCTTTTCTCATAGTAATATTAATTATAGTATATTTATTCTAATCTCGGACGAGTATTTCCCGTAAGAAATGCATAACAATTTAAATTACCCAAAGACTGTAAACAATAAAGGCTAGTTGTTGTAATGTAGGAGAAATCACCATAAGCGCAAATGACATTGAAATAGCCACCGAGAAGTGCTTCAGCTGCTCGCATTATTTTTGTTTTAGCTTCTTTTGCTGTTTGACCGGCCATATTCTGTTGCAATTTATAAAATTTTTAAAAGCTACATCAAATGTTTTTTCCTACTTTTTTTATCTCTTGTTTTTTATTTTATTTTTTTAATTCAATTATTTTATTCTAATCGTCACTAAATCAATATCGAAACTTAATGATGCTAGTTAGTTAATGTAATAAAATTGAAATCATCAAAATTATAACAAACCTTAAATCATCCATAATCTTCTTTTTTTTCCTTCTTTCTTTTTCTTCATAAAAAATGATATGATAAGAGAGTATAAGAATGAATGATTCATTCACCTGTAACATTATATTTTGTAAACTTTTGCTATTACATTTTCGTTCATCGATAATTTCAACTTCTTCATAGTCCGCTTCTCGTTTTTGTATGTTATGATGATTTGTATCAATTTTGTTTGTTTCATTCAAACATGTCAATTTACAGTTTGATTCTGATGGACATATGCATGGCATATTGTTGTTTGCTGTTTCACACGGTAATACGTTTAGGAAAAGTATGACTGAAATGAGTAGTTTCTTGAAATTATATCCATCAACACTTTTCATCCTGAAATTTTATTTCAAATTGAAATTGTGCAGTTTGAAAATTTTTAAAATTAATTAGTAAATAAGAAAAAGAAATAACTGTTGGAATTGTCTTCTTTCAATATTTTTTTGTTTTAAATTTAAATCAATTACAATTGTTTAAGTTATAAAAGATTTAGGCATACTTACGCAATTATTTTTGTTTGAACTAACGTTAGGTCTATCTATGCGGATATGTTTGTTACAATCAACAAGAATACGTTTTCAAGCTTACGGAAGAACACGGAAGAACATATAAAGAAGAACACGTTATTTACATAAAAATTATAACATATATACTAAATAGCTGGAAACTATTTTATACAACTGCAAAAATGATCGTTAGACAAATATCAGCTAACTGAGCTAAATCTTAAATTTTCATTCAACATTTTATACGAGTAATATGTGAATATTTTAAGTTAATTATCATTTAACTTTATTTAACAATTATTCAACTTTTAGCAAAAAACATGCAATTTGACCATCATATTCCATATGGGAACATTTTCACTCATTTATTCCTTTTAGTTTTTCTCGAAATAATTAATTGAACTATACATACTCTTCTTACCTAACTTATAAAATTTGAAATGCATAATTATTAAAGGTTAGAAATTTAGTTATACAAACATTACACACCACAAAATAATCATTCCGTTAGTTTGTTATTATTATTATCATTAATTGCTTTAGGAATGCATTAATATAAAACATTAATGAAATTATATTTCCTAAAATATTAAAAATTATATTTCCAATGTAAGAAGATATTTTCCATAAGCGAAATTGATGGATGAGAGATATATAGGTAAAAAAATTTGCAGGAACTAAAATTAGAAAGATTGTTATCTTGGATTGTAGAAAATATTTTTGTGGGTCATAAATGCATCACACGACATATATATTTATCTTTTACCTGCAAAAAAGGAAAAGGGGAAAAGGGAGAAAAAAAAAGGAAAAAATGAACAAAGAGAGAAGAAATAATTGTAACTGTAATAGTTACATGAATAACTGCAACTGTAATGATTTACATGAATAACTGTAACTGTAATAGTTACATGAATAATTGCAACTGTAACAGTTACATGAATTTTCGGAATGAAAGAAAAAAAAAAAACATTTCATCCATCACATATCCATCTCAATTATTGCAACTACAACGTTATTGCGCTTCTTTATAGAGATTTTTTCTTTCTATTTGGAATGTATGGAATGATCTTCTTCGTTTCTATCGTGATGTGAAAATTAATAACTTCAAATACATATTTATATATAATTTTTTTCCCCTTAAAGAATTATTTTATTTATA